TGAATACAAAAAAAACCATCAAATCGTACACTTTAAAGGATGAATTTTAGGGGTGCCTGGGTGGCACAGTCGGTTGAGCGTCCGACTTCGGCTCAGGTCACGATCTCGCGGTCCGTGAGTTCGAGCCCCGCGTCGGGCTCTGTGCTGACGGCTCAGAGCCTGGAGCCTGTTTCCGATTCTGTGTCTCCCTCTCTCTCTGCCCCTCCCCCGTTCATGCTCTGTGTCTCTCTGTCTCAAAAATAAATAAATGTTAAAAAATATATATAAAAAAAAAAAATAAAGGATGAATTTTATGTGATGTGAATTATAGCTCCACAAAGTTGTGATTTAAGGGTAGATTCAAACCTGAGGATGTCAATAATTACATTAGATGTTAAAAAATTAAGCTCTCCAATGAAAAGACAGAGATTACAAAACAGATTGAAAAGGACCCAACTATAAGCTGTCTAAAAGAGACTTTACATATTAGGACAAAGGTAAAATGACTACATGAGTGGAAAAAGACATACCACGCAAATAGGAAGCATTAACAAAGGTGGAGTGTGGGGCGCCTGGGTGGCTCAGTAGGTTAAGCATCCGACTCTTGATTTCGGCTCAGGTCTTGATCTCATGGTCATGAGATAGAACCAAGCCCCACCCACATCTGGGTCCACGATGGGCGTGCAGCCTGCTTAAGACTCTCCCTCTTTCTCCCCCTCTTCCTCTGCCCTCCCATCCTCTGCACACACTCATGGGTGTGCTCTCTCTCTCAAAAAAAAAAAAAAAGGTAGTGACAGTTTAATATCAGGTAAGAGGGATTTCAAAACAAAATATATTAAGAGATAGAACACTTGGTAATAATAAAAGGATCACTTTAAGAGGAAAACAGGAACTCATAAACGTACATATGCACCCAATAACAGAGCTTCAAATACATGAAGCAAACGTCCAGAGTTAAGTTATAAGGAGAAAGAAAATCCTGCAATCCATAGCCAGAGGTTTTATATGTATCTGTAAGCAACTGATAAAACTAGACAACTAGTAAAGACACACAAGATCTTAATACTTTCAATCGCATTGACTTGCCTGATAGAACGGAATGACTTACAGAACACTGTGTATAATGACGCCAGAATCACATTCTTTAAGTGCACACAGTACATTTACTAGGAAATACCATATATCCTCAAATTTTAAAAGATTGAAATTATAGGGGCGCCTGGGTGGCTCAGTTGCTTGGGCCTCCGACTTTGGCTCAAGTCATGATCTCACAGTTTGTGAGTTCAAGCCCTGCATCGGGCTCTGTGCTGACAGCTCAGAGCCTGGAGCCTGCTTCGGATTCTGTGTCTCCCTCTCTCTCTGCCCCTCCCTTGCTCGTGCTCACGCACACGCGCGTGCGCGCTCTCTCTCTCTCAAAAGATAAATAAATAAACAATAAAGATTGAAATTATATACTCTTTCTGACCAAGATGGAATTATGTTAGAGACTGGTAAACGAGTAAATAACAAGGTAATGTCCACCATATCTGGAAAATAAATAATACTTGTAAATAATCATTGGATAAAAGTAGAAATCACAAGATAAATTAAGAAAAGTGTTGAACTTGGCACAAAAACAGACACTGAGACCAGTGGAACAGAATAGAGAACCCAGAAATGGACCCACAAACGTATGGCCAGCTGGTCTTTGACAAAGCAGGAAGGAATATCCAATGGAAGAAAGACAGTCTCTTCAGCAAGTGGTGCTGGGAAAACCGGACAGCGACAGGCAGAAGAATGAGCCTGGACCACTTTCTTACATCAGACACAAAAAATAAACTCAAAATGGGTGAAAGACCTCAATGTAAGACAGGAAGCCATCAGAACCCTCGAGGAGAAAGCAGGCAAAAACCTCTTTGCCCTTGGCCACAGCAACTTCTTACTCAACACGTCTCCAGAGGCAAGGGAAACAAAAGTAAAAACGAACTATTGGGACCTCATCAAAATAAAAATCTTCCGCACAGCTGAAGAAACAATCAGCAAAACTAAAAGGAAAAGATATTTGCAAACGACATATCAGATAAAGGGTTAGTATCCAAAATCTATAAAGAACTTACCAAGCTCAACACCCAAAAAACAAATAATCCAGTGAAGAAATGGGCAAAAGACATGAATAGACACTTCTCCAAGGAAGACATCCAGATGGCCAACTGACACGTGAAAAACTGCTCCACATCACTCATCATCAGGGAAATACAAGTCAAAACCACAATGAGATACCACCTCACACCTGTCAGAATGGCTCACATGAACAACTCAGGCAACAACAGACGTTGGCGAGGATGCGGAGAGAGAGGATCTCTTTTGACTGCTGGTGGGAATGCAAACTGGAAAAACAGCATGGAGGTTCCTCAAAAGGACTAAAAACAGAACTACCCTATGACCCGGCAATTGTACTACTTGGTATTTATCCAAGGGATATAGGTGTGCTGTTTCAAAAGGGCACATGCACCCCAGTGTTTATGGCAGCACTATCAACAATAGCCAAAGGATGGAAAGAGCCCAAATGTCCGTCGATGGATGAACGGATAAAGAAGATGTGGTCTAGGGGCGCCTGGGTGGCGCAGTCGGTTGAGCGTCCGACTTCAGCCAGGTCACGATCTCGCGGTCCCTGAGTTCGAGCCCCGCGTCGGGCTCTGGGCTGATGGCTCAGAGCCTGGAGCCTGTTTCCGATTCTGTGTCTCCCTCTCTCTCTGCCCCTCCCCCGTTCATGCTCTGTCTCTCTCTGTCCCAAAAATAAATAAAAACGTTGAAAAAAAAATTAAAAAAAAAAAAAAAAAGATGTGGTCTATATATACAATGGAGTATTACTCGGCCATCAAAAAGAATGAAATCTTGCCATCTGCGACTATGTGGATGGAACCGGAGGGTATTATTATGCTAAGTGAAATCAGTCAGCCAGAGAAAGACAAAAATCATATGACTTCACTCATATGAAGACTTTAAGACACAGAACAGATGAACATACGGGCAGGGAAGCAAAAATAATATAAAACCAGGAAGGGGACAAAACAGAAGAGATTCATAAATATGGAGAACAAACTGAGGGTTACTGAAGGGGCTGTGGGAGTGGGGATGGGCCAACTGGGCTTTAAGGAATCTACTCCTGAAATCATTGTTGCGCTAAATGCCAACTAATTTGCATGTAAATTTAAAAAAACCAAATTAACAAAAAAAGAAATGTGTTGAACTGAGTCATACTAAAAACAGGACAACATAAAATGCATGAGATGCAGCTAAAACAGTGTTGAGAGAGAGCTTTACAAGTCTCCACAAAAAAAAGAAAGGAGGTCCCAAGTTGATAACCTAAGCTTGCACCTTAAAAAATAGGAAGTGGTTGGCAATTATACCAAGAGTGAACAGGAAGGAAGGAAATAAAGAGCAGAAATTAATAAAATTGATAACTTCTGGCCACACTGACCAAGAAATAGAGCAGAAATCAGTTATTTGTATCAGCAATGAAGAAGAAAACATCACTACAGACCCCTCAGAGTTAAAAAAAAAAAAAAAAAAGGGGGGGGGGGGGGGCCAGCAGGTGGATGATGTGAACTCTGCCGATACATTTGACCACCTGGGTGAAATGCAGAAGCCGGCAGGTTCCAGGATGGCTGGTGCATTTGGGGGTGAGGCTGGGGGCTGTGGACAGGATGATGGGTGTCTGAGCGGCCACAGCCTGAGGGTGGGGGAGCAGATAGGTAGAATGTGACCAGAGGGCAATGGGGGACCAGTGAGAGGTTCTCAGCAGAGAAGTGGTCTGGTCAAGTGCGACCTTTGAGGAAAAGCCCTCCAGCTGCTTCACCATAAAGAAAACCTGAGCAAGGCAAGCCGGAAGGGAGGCCAGCGCCACTGTCCGGGGGAACCAGGCCCTAAGTTCCCAGGGAACAACGGCAGGACGTGGGGTGAGAGGGAGTGAGGAGGAGGAGGAAGGAGACTGCGAGGCTGCCCCAGAGGTGGGGTCCCAGGGGGCGGTACAGGCCGCAGGAATGAGCCTTCGTCCTGGAGCCTGCAAGAAATGAAGCCAGGGGCAGCTGGGGGAGACCTGGGGGGAGAGCAGGGTGGCAGTACTGTGCCCATGTTCCCTGTCCCGGCCCCTGCCAGGAGGGACTCCCGTGGACCTCCGAGACCCAGAGAGGGGCCGGGAGGGCGGGCCAGGCCCAGGTCAGCGCACACACGTGGGACCATCTCAGTCTCCAACGCCCCGGATGTAGGTAAGCCAGGTCCGTGTGGGGACACTTGGCCTAGTGAGAATGGAGGTGGGCCCAGGAGAAGGTCCCGTTTGTCCCAAGAAGGCACGGCTACGACCGGACAGGCAGAGAGGAAGAAGTGGGCCCAGGACAAGGCCTCGTCTCCCGCCGGAGCTCCCGGCCGTCTCCATTTGCCCATCTGGGCAGCTGGACGGTGATCCCGGCTAACAGGCACACGGCGCCCGGCAACCCCCTAGGGATGACCTCCTCCGGGCCCCCACCCTAGGCTGCGTGGCCATCTCGCCGACTGAACCGCCTCTAATGCCCAGACAGAAGGGGCTTCCTCTTCCTCCAAACCTCTGCGTGGCCGGCCTGTGCCTCTACCGGTACCTGTGTTTCTCCTATGACGCTTAGCCTGGCGCCTCCTCTCTGTCGTGCTTCAGCCTGGGTGTCACCTACCTGGAGTGGCCTCCCCTGGGCTGCTCCAGCCCCCCAGGGCGCAGATCTGAGGCCTATGAGCTTCCCAGAACGGCCCGTCCCCGGACGCCTGAAGCGGACGGGGCCAGGCTACATGCATCCGTCAGGTGCACATACGGTGAAGGTCACCTGCAGAGCTCTGGCGACCCCTCCTGGGGCGGGCCGGGCCCACATCACCAGGACCGCTCTGCTCAGGATGGGGGCCCACGAGGCAGGGCTCCACTGGCCCCCCAGCTCTGCTTCTAGCCTCCTCCGAGCCTTGGTTTCCCGTCCGAAGGTTGGGGCAGCGGCGTCCCTGCAAGTCCACCTGCCAGTACTTACCCATCAGGTTCTGCCGCTCTTCCTTCTTCCGGGCCTTCTGCTTGGCCTCCAGCTGCACCACCGAGAGGGACGGCCCCACTGTGGGGCTGGGGAGGGCACTGGCTGCAAAGCGGGCCAGCAGGCCCAGCCCGCTCTCCTCCAGGCCTGGCGACAGGGCCCGTTCCCGGGGCCCCAGCCTATAGCCGCCGGCAGCCTCGTCCTCCTCCTCCTCCAGCTCATCCTCCTCGTCCTCCTCCTCGGAGCTCTCATCTGGTGCAGAAAACAGGGGGCGAGTCAGAGCCTTGGCCCGGGTGGGTACCACCCCCCACCGCCCCTGCTCGGCCGGGGCACCAGCGAGGGATGCCACAGCTCCAGCCTAGCTCCTCACTCCTCACCGGCCGGGGGTGGTCCAATACCAGCCCACAAGTCCCCCCCGATGGCCCAGTGACCCCATCACAGCAAGCCCAAGACATGGGCATCCCGGACAGCCCAGAGGTGGGCAGCGGCCTTGGGAATCGGAGGGTTTCTGTACGGGGAACACCACATGCACCTGTGCTGTGGGGAGGGGGACAGACACACGGACAAGGACTGGAGACAGCTCTCTCCACCGTCTCACACACGCACGCACGCGTGCGCACACACACACACACACACACACACACACACACACACACACACACGCCCCGACGTACAACATGGAGGCTGAGGAAGGAGGCAGGAGAGAAGGAAAGAGGAGGCCAGGGAGGGACAGAAAGGAGGCGGGAGAGGGCCCTGGGGACTCAGGCGCCTGGGGGTCTGGGGCTGGTGGTAAGAGAACGTGGAGTTTGATCTCCTCTTGGGGGAGTGGAAACCCCCTGGGTTGGAGCCCTGAGCAGATGCTGGGATCCAAACTTGACTTCCAAGGATCCCCGAGCCAAGAAGCCTGGGGCAAATCTCAGCCCTCCGTGAGCACCTACTGTCTCATCTGTGGCAAGGGGTGGTCTCCCCAGTGCCCCCCCCTCCCCAAGGTAAGGGGAGGCTCCCGATATGTAGGAGAAAGCACTTCACAGGCTCAACAAGCATCAAACAAACAGGGCAAGCCTGTTGAGCAGAAAGAAGCCACTGTCCCCAAGGCCAAGCGATCCACAAGCTGGCTATGCCTCACGACCCATGGGGAGCCGGGAAGGGAGAAGCACCCAGGTCAGCCCACTCTACACCACGAGACGGAGACTCGGTGCGGCCAAGTGCTCAGGCAGGACTCAAACCCAGGGCTGCCTGGATGTCTTGCCACCCAGAATCTCCTGGAAAGAATCTAAAGGAGCTTCAGCCTGTGTCTCCAGCTGGTGAACAGAGATGTACTTCTCCATGGGAACCGGCCTCCCGCCTGGGAACCTGCAGCCCTGAGCCCAGCTCGGGCCATGGGAACAAAGGCGGGGCAGGTGGCAGGCTGGCAGGCTGGCAGGCAGGGCAGGAAAGGCAGTGCTCCCTGCACATGAACCAACCCTCCAAGAGACTGTAGGCAGGTAACGAGCTTGCTTCCGACCTTCCCCAAGAGACAGCCTAACACCACGAGGGCAGGCAGGCACAAGAGCATCAGAAGCCAACTGCCCACGAGATGCCCAAGGGACATCTGCCCAAGGGTGGGGTCTGCCCAGACTGCTGGGAGTGTGAAGGTGGCTCTGGGGGCTGCTGACCAAGGGCAGGGCCAGGCGAGGCTGCAGGTGCCCCTCTGCAGCAGGAAGGGGGAAGGGAAATACGGAGGTGGCCCAGATCCCCCCTACTCTACCTTGGGAAGCACCTGGGCTCAGGGGATGGAGAGGGACAGAGACAGCTGGCCAAGTCCATGTTCTCGCACCATGCCCCAAGCCACCTGCCTGCTTGCGTACAACTAACAGCCCAAAGTGGCGGCCCTGGGTGTGCCAGTGGAGGCAGGGGTTCTGTCTAACCCTTTACCGAGGGAGCCTCGGTCTGTGCCGAGCGACCCCTCGGTGAGGAAGGTGGAGATGAGCTCAAGGAATCCCTGAAGGGAGTTGAGAAAGGCAGGAGGCAGAGACAGAGGTTTGTTAGGAGGAGGAGGAGGGGGAGGAGGGAGAAAGGAGGAGGAGGGGGAGGAGGAGGAGCGGGAGGAGGAGGAGCAGGAGGAGGAGACCCGGCCCCCCCGGAGCAATGGATGAAGCAGGATGGAGGCCAGCGGGGCAAGCAGGCAGGCAGTGCGCACTTGCGGTCCATTCACATTGCAGACATCACATGGTTCTGTCTCCGCCCCAGCGGGCCCCAGCGGCAAAGCAGGCTAAGTGTAGGCAGACTTTCGACAGCGCCTGGGTCCCCCACAGCGGGCCTCCCTGGGGTGGGCCAATTTGAGCAGGGTGGCGGGCGGGGGGCTGGCTGGGGTGGGGGCACGGGGTCAGACGTGTGGCCGGTTTTCCCTTGTAGAGAAGGCCTCCCCTGGCTGCTCAGGTGTGGAGACTCCAGAACTCTCTCCCATCCAGGAGTCCCCCATCGGCAACGTCCGGTGGGGGAGGGCTGGCTCTGGGTTTCCGGACGCCCGGGATGTCTACGTTGGACACCAGTCAGCCAGCAGCGGCCCAATCCCAGCACCCTGAGATGGGAGAGTGCTTGGAAGGGAAAAGTCAAAACCAGGGCGTGCTTCCCCCAAAGCGGAGACACAGATGATCTTGGTCTCCCGAGACGCTCCCCACCTCCGGCTGCTGGGAGCGTGACAAGCCCCCACTGGCTGTTTCCCATGGTGGCCGGTCTACTCAGGCTGGGGTCTGCGGGGCAGGGGGAGTAGAGGGGGTCTCCGGACCAAGAAAGCCTTTCTAGAGCTGTCCACACCTGAGGTCACAGGGCTTGCCAAGGGCAGAGGGTAGAAAAAGTCCCAACAAAGAAGCCCAAGGAAATAGAGAAAAACTTTTTTTTACAAAAAGAAACAAAAAACACCACCAACAAAAATCTCTTGGCTCAGTACAGTGGGGTTGTCTGTTGTTAATTTGGTTCGGTTTCCAAAACCCGATTGATAAATGCCAAAGCAATCCGCTGCTGCCATAGCCGATGGGGGCAAACCCCGAGGAGGGGGGGTGCAGAGGGGACACAAAGAAAAGGGTTTTGCCTACCTACGGAGCAACGAGCCAGGCTCGCACCCAAGCTCAGTGACCCGCTGCGCCGTCTGCCCTACTCCCAGCCTTCGCTTTGCGTCCAGAGTGCAGCGTGAGAGCAAATGCAAGAGACCAAAACAGACATTCAAAGCATCATGGGTAGGGATCAAGGGTGAAGGTATGGTCAAGCTGCTGGGAGGAGAGAGCAGACACTAGAAAGCCAAGCAGTCAGGTGTTTTAGTACCGGATGTCAGAAGTCCCTATTACCCAAATATCCCTGTCAAGACCTCACCAGCTGGTGTGCGCAGCAAGGCCCCTCCCCTCCCCCTATCTGGGCGCTCCCCACGGCTGCATCCGGCCTGGTCTGAGGGCCCCTGGCTCCCTCTGCCCACTCTGGGCCAATGGCCCCTTGCGAAGAGATCGGATCGGGAGGGGCTGCCTGCTTCTCTACAGGATCTGAGCTGGGGCAGGAGAGCTTAAAAACATGGAAACTGGAACTTTGGCCTTAAAGGGGAGGAGCCCGGGGAGGAAAGGAAAGGGTCAGGGAAGTAGGGAGAATGATGAACCAGCCAGACTGGTCTGCAGAGGCCAGGGCTGAGGGAGGCCTGGCAAAGGAGGCTGGCTGATCGGTTAGTGGCCTCCCCCCCCCCCCACCCCGAGGCCCAGACTGACGGCAGCAGCACAGGAGAATCAGGGTCCCAAGGGCACCTGGCCCCCTGCTGTGCCGTCTCCTGGTCACCCAAAACGGATGTGGGCCAATCAGGACGAGGGGCGTGGGCAGGGAGAAGGCGGACCAGGAACGAAATCAGGGTAGAGTCCAGCCCCAGGGCCCAAGCCCATCCAGGTTGGCCTCTACGTGTCTGGGCCTCACTCAGGGAGCGTGGGGTCCGGGCTCTGGAAATCCCTGAAGGGGGGGGTCCACCCTGTAGCAAATGCTAAAGTAGGGTGAGGAAACACTTAGGGATCCTCTGGCTCCCCCGCCGCCCCTGGGACACACCTAACCACCCGGGCAAAGTCAGAGCCAGGGTGTTCGCAGGGGTCACTGAACCCCACCCTCTCTTCACAAGTGAGGCGAATGAGGTTCCCCGGGCTGGGCCGGGGTGCCAGCAGACCAGGCCTGTGGGCTCCTAGGCCAGTGCTCCCGCCGAAGCCTGAGCCCCGCCGCTCAACACGGCAATGAGGCCCACGCTTTCACATCTCACAACAAAACTCGGGGCAGCAAATGGTCTTGACCCTGCACTGCCTACGTGCCCTTTAAAACAGAAATACGTGTTAGGAAACGAGCGTTCGTATTTTTAAACCGCTGTTACGCAGGAACAGAGCTTTAAGAAAATAAAAAAACAAACGAGCAGCTAAAAAAAAATAAAAAAATAAAAAAAAAGGAAGAAAGATGAAGCTGGAGGTGAACGCAGCTGACTTTCGATCTGAAGAATGAAACGCATGCCAAGAGCTACCGGGGACATCTGAACAATAGAAAAGAGCGGCAGACTGCACACCCCAGCTCTGCCCCTTGGTGGGGGGGGAGGGGGCGGGGGGGAGGGGAAGGAGGGACAAAATGGGGGGAGCAGCAACCTAACGGTCTAGTAAGGACACAGCAAGAGAGACAAGGCACACGGGTTTAGTTAAAAATGAACTCGGTATGTTTAATAAAGCTTGGTATTACCAAAATCGCGGTACAAACATCAAGTCACACGCCCACACGACAGAATTCCGTTTACAAAACGTCCCTCGGAGGCCTCCTCCGGGTCCGCGCCCGAGAGCGCCCAACCCAGGCCTGCGGTCTAGGGGGCAGAGGAGGCGAGGAGGAGGGCAGAGGGGGAGAATGGACAGGGGTGGAGACTAAAAACAGTCCATGTAAGAGCTCAAAAAGAGCCAGGCCGTGGCGTTATCACAACGATACAGGTACAGGTAAGAACAAAAATAAAGACTCAGGCGGATACAGCAGGCTACGCTGCCAAGAACCAAGACGGCCGCCCTTCCCGAGGCGTCCCAGACGGGCCACCTCCGCCCGCCATCTCCTGCCATCTCCTGCGTGCTCGCTCGCTCGCGCTCGCTCTCTCGCGCTCTCTCTCACTCACTCTCTCGCTAGGAAACACGGAAGGTATTTTGTGTTTGGAGCTAGTAACCTTGGTCAAACGAGTCCTCCGAGGAATCGCTGAAGGAGGATCGGGCCTCGACCTCTCGAAGCAGCAAACAAAAGGGCTGCTTCCTGCCGGCGGCCGGCTTGGGTTTGAGAGTCCGGGCGGCCGCCAGGCCCCGCTCGCTCAGCTTGGGGCCCCCGGCCGGCTTGCCGTTCTTTGCCACCATGCCACACAGGATGGAGGACGTCAGTTTGGAGCTGGACGGGCCTTGGGCAGACCACTCGTCCTTCAGGAATCCTTCGTCTTCCTCTGAGTCCGTATCTGCAGTCAAAGTAGTTTTTGACACAGTAAGTCATGGGGTGCTGGGCGGGGAAGGGCTGGTGTCTCTCGCTACTAGCGGTTTCGAGAAGGCCCTGGCGCGTGCTAGGGCAGAGAGGTCCAAATGCCCACTGGCTGCGGAACAAGCCGTGCCCCACCGCCTGGACCTCTCGCCTCTCGCCCGGGAGGCCTCCAGGCCGCAGGCATCACAGAGCTTGTCCTGTCCGGGCTGGGCGCTGCCGGCCCCGCCCACCAGACAGCCACTTCTGCCGAGGCCTTTCCGGGCCCTGGGGGGGAGGCAGGAGCCCCACACTCGTGAGGGTCTCGCCCGTGGTCATGGAGGTCACTGCACCCAGCACGTGGGGACATGGGGAGGGACAAGGCCCAAGAAAGGAAGGGCCCCGGTAAAGCTCTTCTCCCCCAGAATACCCGTTTGCCCCGGCACAGGGTGGCACAGGCAGGCTCGCGACGACAAATCACGCACGCGCACCCCAACTCCCCGCCCAGCAGCATCCCAAAGGCGCGTCGAGATGGGCCATCGTGAAAGCGGTTACGCCAAGGAAACTGGCAAATGACGGGACAACTCAAGGCTTCCCCCCAACTTTTTCCTATCGAAGGGCCGGGCTGCCAGCACACTGCTGCTGGCTTCCCTGTCTCCGGCCTCACCGTGCAGGTGAGGTCAGGGTTCCCAAGCTCTCCCAGGAGAGGATCCCCCAGCTTTGGGGGGGGGGGGGGGTGCCACGGTCAAGCAGGCACAGCTCTGGCCCCTTCCAAGCCCATCCCAAGCAAGAATTCATTGGAAGAAAGGGCTCTGCAGCCAGAAACTATAACCTCTTGACCTGCTAAAATCCACTCGGAACAAGAGGAACACTAACAGAGACACAGCTCTGGCAGCACCTGCCACCTGCAAGCCCACGAGAAAACTATACGCGTCGGGCGCAGGAGGCGAGGGGGACGCAGCGTCCGCTGGCTGCCTCCTCCTCTACCTGGGCTTTCCACGTCAAGACCCCAACGGCAGGATGGCCTCCAAACTCCAGGCAGAGCTAGGACAAAGACAAGCCCCACCAGGCCCCTGCCCATCGTTCCCAAGGCCGCATCCCAGGCCAGAGCCACTCGTGGGTGACGACAACCGAATCGGCTTCCCACCAGGCATGTCCCCGACCCCTACAACCCAAGAGTTGTAAAACCCCAAAGCGAGAAAGAGAAGAACGTTCTGTTCTCTCCTCCCATCTCCTGCCAGCCATCCCTGTGCTAGAAAACACTCTTGTCCTCTTTGTGACCGTGTACTCTGCTTACCTAGAACCGCGGAAAAGCCAACATAAAAAATACAAACGAGGGCCCTCTCCAGATCCAGCCGCGTATCAGAGCCAGCATCTAGTTGGAGTCAGACCTTTAGACCTGTATGTTGCAACGTTTACTCACTTCTCACCTGGACGATGGAATTTAGGCACAGACCCAACAGCTAGACTAGCAATCTGAACGTGGCTTTGTGCACGCACACACGTGCGCACAGCAGACTCACTGGCTCAGAGCACGCCAAACATCTCAGCGGCTGAACCGATCTCTGGTCTCTAAATGTACCCCAACCACCTAGAAGTGGGAAGGTACAGGATTCTTACCTGGCAACCAGCCAGGCGACACCCAGCGGCCACTCACCCTTGAAACATAAGAGCCGCAGCAATGCTCCCCACTCCCCCCATCATTCCAAAACTGGCAGAGATACAAACAGCAGAGGAAAACCCTTCTTCCCTCTTCCTCCAGAGCTAGGAGTTTCTGGTACGAGCTCATGGTGGCCACGGGCCTGGGCACTCTTGCTCGGATCATACCCATTACGACCGGAGGGCCATCAAAGCTATCGCAATCGAGCATGTCCTGGGCACATAAGCCACAAAGGCGCTGTTTACTTCACACACGTCTCTGCGTCAGCCCTAGAAACCCTTCAGTCCACAGCAACCAAAACCACGAACATTAAAACATACACACACGTATGCACACGCATGCGCGCGCGTCAAGCTCTTCGCCGACGTGAATTCACGTAAAGTTCAGGACAGCCATGGGAAGCAGACGATGATAACCCCATGTCCACAAAACTTTATTTCCTTTCCTTAAGAAAACAAACTTTCTAATAACATTACAAGTGTCCGCTTTCTTGCACGTGACGTTCAACCGCTGCCCTCCGACCCCTCATGTACCACGCAGAGTCAATCAAGAGCCTAGACGCACACAGCCAGGCAGTCGTCAAGGGGAAAAGCCGCCCACCCCAGTCGGGGCCTGGGGACTCCCAAAACAAACCCCGCGGACAACTGCCAGGAGCCACGAAGCCCCGCCTGGCTCTCCTGCGGCGGCCACACGCTTGGCGCGCATCGGTCCTGGGCACTAGGGGCTCGGCCCACACACGCACCACGCAGCGGCCCCGGGGCCCCTGGAGAGCCGGGCGGGCGGGCCCAAGGCCCAAGGCCCACCGCCCAGGTAAGGAACTCCGATGCGGCAGGCTCCGGGCCAGTGCGAGACCGCTCAGCCGCTCCGCGGCTGCGCTCCCAGGCTCCACAGCTCCCGTCCTGGGAGCCGAGCCATCCGGGCCCCGCCAACTCCCCACCCCTGGCGGTCAACCTCGCCCGGCCTCGGCCTCCACCCTCGGGAACAACGCGGGGCAGCCACCTGGAGGACTGTCTTTGCCGGAAACAAAGCGAAACACGGCCCGCACAGCCCTCGGTGCGCCGACCAGCACGGCGCCCGCTCCACGGACACCGGACACCGTTCCTCTGAATCTCCGGCCCCAGGACAGAAAGCCGCCTGTGGGCAGGGGAGACGGACTCCTCTCTATGGTCGTCGCGAGCGACCGCTCTAGGCCCAGCGGCCGCCAACTCGGTGGCGCAAAGCCTCCCACACTGCCGGCTTCCCCGCGAACAAGCGGAGGGCCGGTACACGAGGGCAGGCGGACTTCCGCTCCCACCTGCCAATCACGGGCGCCCGCCAATCACAGGCACTTCTGCTCTAGGCACCCACCCCCACCCCACGCACGCACTTCCGGCCTGGAGCCCGCGCAAAAGCAGGACTCGTTGGAGCGCCCACGAGATGCGGAGAGAGGAGACTGAGGAGAGGAAAGGCCCCGAGGCGGCGCGGCGTCCGCTACTTACTGTAGGAGTAGCTGCTCACTTCCGAGGCGAACGGGGAGTGGGCCGACTTGGGCTGGCCTCTGGCCTTGAAGCCCACCTCCATCTTCCTGGCTTTGGCGGCCCTTTTGTGTTTACCTTCTCTGGAGGCTTTGAGAGACAGGCTGAGGCCTTTGGCCAGCGCCTTCCGGTCCTTGCCCAGCAGGCTGTCATAGGGCGTCAAGTACCTGCCGCAGCCCCCGCTCGCTTTGGACTTCCCTCCAGAACTGTCCGAGAACTTGAAGGGCGACTTCAACTTGTCCTGCTTCGTGAGGGAGAGGGCCTTGTCCAGCTTGCTCGCCAGCTGCTCCTGGTCACTGGCCATCTTCTTCTTTTTAATCTTTAGCTGGAGAGGGAAGTTGGGGAGTCACGGGTTAAGACGTTTGGCAAAACAGGATCGTGTGTTTCGGTGCCCGGGCTGTGCCGAAGCTGGGCTCCGGTCCTTTCCTCCTGCCCCTGTGGCTTCTAGCAAGCTGCTCACCTCCTCTTAGCCTCAATTCTTCTGCTCTGTAAATCGGCGATAATTATGTATGGGCATCTTGGGGGTTTTTCTGAAGATGAACAAGATCAGGCCCACAAAGCTTTTATCACAGAGCTGTTACTGCGGTTACGGTTCTCATGAACACTGGCATTTCCACTGGCTTTGCCTGGCGCTGTCTGGTGCCTCCTAGGGAAGCCCTTCCAGCGGGCAGCACAGCCCATGAGCAGAAGGCAGCTGGATTAGGTCAGAGGCATGGAACCGAGATGGAAAACCCAGGTCATACCATGGATTCCCACCTAAAGCAGCCCATCCAACTAAATGGGCCTAGCCGACAAGAGAACGCCCTGCGAGCGTGCCCTGGATGCCTGAAGCAGAAAGCGCGACTCAAGATTTCACAGATTAAATTCCTGGTTCCAAGTCTGCTGTAGTCACTCATTGTCAAAGGGAAGCGTGCAGTTTCAAAGCCGTTAATGCCCCTCGTTTGAACGTTCTCTCTCTATTTTTCTTGAATCAGGTAATCTATTGTAAGGCGGGGGATAGTTGGGATAGGGCCTTAATTAAACAACAAAAGTATCCTTCACAATTTGTGAATAAAGGATGCTGATCTACAAACTGGCTCTATTCCCTCCTCCTGGATGCAGTCCCCCTTATGTGTGTTATTTTGCTCTGATGGCCAAATCAACATACAGCCCCTTGCATGGGGCCTTATGGGGAAAGATGACAAGGTACATTAGATATTTAGAGACAAGGGCCTTAAGTGGCCGATTTCAATGCTCTGCAGAAATCAGAAAAATCAAGGAGCTGGCTCTCACCCCATTACCTCTGGAGAGTTCACAGGGAAATTACGATGGGATCAAGCCCTTGCTTCTGCGAACTACAGAGTGGTGAAGCTGCTCGTTGAACAACTGCACTGTTGAACAATAGTAAGTGTGTTATCTGGTTAAGAACTTGCAATCTCTCTTCCTGGCTTCAGCAGAGGGTCACCGAGCACGCATGGGGGGGGGGGGGGGGGGGGTGGCTTTCCGTCTCTGCTCTACCTGAGGCTGTGCTACTCTGGTTAAGTCTCTGACCTCTGGGCCTGGATTTTCTCCTCTGTGCAACAAGGAAGACTAGAGGACAGCCCTTTTGGCACTAAGACAATCCTCTCTATAGTGTCTGTGCAGCAGGTGGGGCCAACAGACCTGCAAAGGGAGCGTGAACTCTGGCACACCCTGCAGACCTTCCACTCTGAGATGGCAGCATCTCTGCAACACAGAGTTACTGACCTGACTCATGAAGTCCGACGAGGCTTCGTGCTCGTCCCAAGGCTGGTTCCTGCCCCTAGCTCTCCCCGTTCCGACCAGGGCATCGTGTTCCTCCTCGGGTCCCTTGTGTCTCTTCCTCATCCCTGCTCCAAGCTCGTACTCATCCGACGTCAGCAGGGGCTTGCTGCTCAGCCTGAAACCCAGATGCACTGCTGGTCAGCACGCTGGCCAGGAAAGACTCAAGGGTTGGGGGTCCGCCCTCACAGCCCTGAAGGGTGGGCTCTGGATGTCGAAGCACAGACAGTGATGGCAGAGTGACGAATCTGGGGAGACGGATCCTGTAAAACTGTGGTGCTGGGATTCTATCTGTGAGTGGGGCAGAATGAGAGTTTAACCGGAAAGAAGAAACACTTCTCCAAGGCAGTATCCTCTGCTGGCCTCTTTCTTGTGCTTCTTCACACATACACTCACACACACACCTTATCAAAACATGCCAAGAGTAAAGATCAGAAATGTCCAAGAAATCCCCCAGGACTGGAAGGGGAGTAAGAGCCACTGGCTGGTCTCCTGCACCCCTGGGATTAAGACAGTCGGGACACGGTCCTAGGTTGAAGGCTTCTCTTGCCTACTTTAAGCTAAACCCTCACAAGTAATAAAAGCAGCTAATTTTTACTTGGTGCTTACTATGTGTTCTCTTCCGGGTTAGCGTTTGATACTTTAGCCACAAAACAATGTTCCACATCCTGTTTTTACACGTGGGGAAACTGAGGCTCCAAAAAGCTAACACCCAGCCCAAGGTCACAACAAACACTGGACGGAGCTAGGACTCACAAGTAGGAACAGACGCCCACCTCCAGAGGCTGTGCTCCTAACCAGTGGCTGTGTGCTGGCGGCCCAGCCCCTGTGGTTTCGGGAACTGCTTCCCTACCCTCCTCCTTTGGCTGGTTTTAGGGGATTTCTTCCTCTTTCCATCCTCTCCTCAAACAGGAACATCCCAGGAGGACAAATCCAAGTCGTGGGGACGCTTGGGGTGATCTGACAAGCCCTGTGGCCGATCCACTGCCTCTCCTGCGCCTTTTAGGGGCACCCTGTGGCCCCTCTGCTTCCTCAAGCCAAGCACCAGGCCACCTACTGTCTGCCCTGCTCCGATGTCCCAGGCTGGGGCACACTCCAACCCCGCTCTTTTGATGGGCCTCATTCAGCTCCTGCTACTCCATGACACCCAGGGAAGACCGCAGCATCATTCCTACCCACGCTCAGCCTGGAGGAAGAGCTCTCATCCCAGCCACCATTCAAGAAAACCTCCAGAGACGCCACGCGTCGCTCCTGCTGCCGCTCAAGGAGTGTGCAAAGGAGCGGCCCCGGGTCACAGGCTCAGGCACGACAAGCCAACAGGTCAGACCAGGAGGACAAGAGTGACGCTGTCAGTCACGGAGGCAAGTAAGTGACAGCACAAGTCAGAACCCGTCCCAGGGGGCTGGAAGCTCAGCGGATCCCTCTGCAGGGAGGAGGTGTACAGAGAAGAGCAGGAATTCGTCCCTAACCGTGGAGAAAGCAGGTGTGGCGGGAAGACGGGCGAGGCACTTAGCTCATGGCACAGAAACCTCTCTCACTGGGGTCACCTGCCCACTCAGTGCCGGGTAGATGAGTCTGCCTGTCCGTTCCGCCACTCGCCCGGCTCGCCCTCCTGGCCCGGGCGGCGCGCACCGTGCTCCCTGAGAGCTACCAAACCAGGTGGGTCGGAGCCCGAGGGACTCGAGGTCCCCGGTGCCCAGACGCAGGCCCTGTGTGGGCCTGTGCTCCTCCCCTCCGAGCTCTGTGCCAGTTCCCGACCCACCGAGGGGCCAGCCTTACTTTCCGCTACTGTTGCGGCTCTTCCCTCTCTTGCGGGGGGGCGACAGGGTGCTCAGGGCGTGGGTCCGTTTCCTCGGCCTGCCAGGGCCTCTGCGTGCCAAGCTTCTATGGGGTTCCTCGCGCCTGTCCCTTAAAAAGAATCACACGCTCGGCTGTGAACCTGGGGGGTGGGGGGGGGCGCGGAGAAGGACATACGATGCACACACGTCACTCGGGTCCACACACACCTCTAATGGCCTACCACAGCCAACCTACTGAGCACCAGCGCCTACGAGAGCCCAACCAGGGCGCCGCCTGCCGCGGCCTTGTCGCCCGGCCGGCCGGGGCCGCGGGGTATGGCTGGGGTGCGGCCGGGGTGCACACTCACTCGGAGTCGCGGCGTCTCTGCAGCTTCACCAGCTCTCGCTGCTTCTCCTTGTACCGCCGCTGGACCTCAGCCAGCCGCATCCGGAAGTCCAGCTCCATGGCATCCATGCTTTCCAAGGAGGACTTCATGGCATACATCTGCGGGGAGAGCGGGGTAAGGATGCCAACGCCCACCGGCTCCCACCACCCGGCCAGGCATCCGCTCAGATGGGAGCGGCGAGGCCTGATGGTGACCGGGGCCCAGCTCACGCCTCACCTGCCACTTCACTAGCCCTGGCCGTGGGCAGAACGCGGGACGGGGACCAAAACTCAACTCTGCAGGGCCGCGTCAAGGCCGAAGCGGCCTGAGACAGCCGCTCCCAACAGTGTTATCCATCGCTTACAGAGGCCCACAGGCACCAAGGGGCACAGCCAGGCCTGCTCTTCCTGACCCGTCAGGCGGTCGCCCGTTATCACGTGGATAAACTGAGACCCAGAAAGGGGATACGGCTTGCCCAGGACCGCACGGCAAGTCAGCGGTGGAACCTGGACTCAGATCAGGCCCTTTCAACTCCAAAGTCAGCCATGTCCCCAGCAAGATGGAGTCTCTGGGGGACCCATCTCTGCTCCCACCCCACGGGCCACAGGCAGGCAAAGACAGGCCCGGGACACCTCACCCGCTCCTCCTTCTTCTGCATCCAGCTATACTTCTTGTTGGGGTTCAGCTCCCGCGGAAGCCGCAGGTTCTTGAGCGGGTCCACGAAGGGACTGTCCAGCACCTCCTTCAGCATGTGGCTGCTGGCCGCCAGCAGGCTCTCCAGCGAGGGCCGCACCACCGGGCCCCGCTCTGCACCTGCACATAGGAGGCAGGTGAGCCCACGCCTCTGTGCCCGCCCCGCCGTGCTCCCTGGGGGCAGCCCACCCCACTCAGACCCCAAACAGGGAGAAGAACGAGCCCAGGACCAGCTCAGGGCCTGCCCGAGGCCACAAGGCCCCCACGATGCTGACGGGACCCCGGCCTTGCCGAGAGCCAAGAAATGGTGCTAAGTGAAGAGAACAGGCAGAAGCCGGGGCACACAGCACGGCTCTGTTCCAAACGTCCACTGCCGCACAGAGAAAATGGCCACGAGCGGCCAAGCGCCCACAGAGGCGCGTTCTGGGCTGTGCCTCTTTCTGCTCCTCTGTCCTTTAAACTTGCCACAGGGAATATGCATGGTTTTCATATTCAGAAAGAAAAGGGCCCAAATTAAGTTTCATAAACTGCAAAAGCAGTAGGAGAACACAAAAAAGATAAACGAAGCAGAAAGGTGCGAAGAAACGAAAACCTTCCCCGCCCCAGCACAAAGCTGGCCCCGCCACCAGAGGCACCACTCTCGACATTCTGGTAGAGGGCTCCAAAAATACCGATCCCCACTCGAACACACGCAACGTCCGTGGGCATCCTTCGTAAATATGGGAACAGCATCAACGCATACATACGGTATCACACCTTTTTCCACCTACCCTCTTTTCACGGTAGCGCATGACAGCAATCTACCACATGTCGTTAGCTTGGACCTTATGAATTATAACTGCCATTTCTACAGGTCAGCAACTTTTATGTGGCCAAACCCAGTAACAACTGCCTAGAGTTCTCTTGCATTGCTCAGTTTTAATTAATCTAAATAATCCCCCATTAAACGGCATTTCTTTTTTTTCTTTTTGTTTTGTTGGGGGGGGGGGGTGGGTAGTGGAGGCATAGGCACACAGCAAGGACACGTGTTTCAGGACAATTCCTCTCTGTGATTAACACGATTAAGGTATGTGCATTTATCTAATAAATATTCCCACTACCCTTCAGAAAGGGCACGCCACCCATCTCCCCTCCAGTCTCTCCCAGAGTAACAGTTTTCTTTTTTAATTGGCGTTGTCTTTGTGATCTAATATGTGATCAGTTTTTATGAATGTTCCACACATGCCTGAGAAAAAAAAATATTTAAAAAAAATTTTTTTTAGTGTTTATTAATTTTCGAGAGAGAAGGATGGAGCATGAGCAGGGGGGTGCGTAGAGAAAAGGGACACAGGATCCGAAGCAGGCTTCCGGCTCCGAGATGTCAGCAAAGGGCCCGACGCGGGGCTCGAACTCCCAAACCTCGAGATCATGATCTGAGCTGAAGTCGGATGTTTAACCGACCGAGCCACCCAGGCGCCCTCAAAGCATATTCTTTACTATCGACGCGTGCAGTTCCATAAAACAGACATCACTGATGGTCTCGCATAGATCAGGGCTTCTCGACCTTGGCGCTATGCACGTTTTGGTCAGCTCATCCTCTGCAATGGGGGCAGCCATCCTGGGCATGCGCTGTAGGAGGTTCAAGAGCATCCCCTGCCTTTCCCCACTAGATGTCAGCAGTACTCCCCCAAGCTGCGACAACCAAATGGGTCACTGCCAGTTGAGAAACACCGGTTTTGCTCTTACAGGCACGGAGGCTGCACAGCAGTGAACCCCATCAGCTCACGAGGGCCCACCCCGAGGTGACGCCTCTGCACCAGACCACCCCTCAAGGTCGTCCGAACCGGAAGATTCTCAGTGGTTGGGTAAGGCAGGAGAGCACCGCTCCATCACAGAGGAGGGGACCGAGGTGCAGCTTCTGTCACCTCCTTCACCTTCCAAACCAGTCTGGCTGAGGCTCTCACAACTGAGGCCAGGGAGCCTGGTGACTCTAGGCCATCTGCTACGGGATGTATCGTCCCCCCCCCCCCCCCCCCGGCCCACGCCATCCACACATTTAAGTTCTGACCCTAGTATTTCAGAAAGTGATCTTATTTGCAGTCTCTACAGAGGACACCAAGTTAAAGTGACCAGATGAGCCCTAATCCAGTAGGACTATTTCTCTATAGAAAGGGGAAAGCTGGAGACAAGCACGGAGGCAACCGGGCGAGGACACGGGGAGAAGACGGCGTCCACGCGCCAGGAAAGAGGCCTCAGCAGGACCCAGCCCTGCCCACACAGTGGTCTAGAACATCCAGACGCCCCCCAGTCTGTGGTACTTGCGACAGAAGGCCTGGCTGACACACAGCCTCATGGCTGTACCAATGCAGGGGTGACCTGTGGGCCATGGGAAGCTCGACGGGCGACCAGGGGCCTCTTCAGCGTTCCATCGGCAGCTGCCTGCTGGGTAGAGAAGAGGGCCGCCAGCCTCTCCCTCACCCTTGATATGTACACACCCCTGCACACCAGCACCTCCAAGTGTGTTTTCCAGCCCAGGGTCACAGATCCAGCCGCGGGCCACACTTCCAATGCAGAAACCAGCTGTGGGTCCCAAAACCTCCTCCCGCTGCTTCCTGCAAAGTCTGCCCTTCCAGCGGCTCAGGCTACAAACCTCGGAGTCGCTCTTACACCAGCTCGGAGCTGGCAAAGCCCTCTGGCTGCGCCACCTTAACTTCTACCCAGAATCCTCTTGCTCCTCACCTCTACCCACCACCCCAGGGCCTGGGCCTTCCTGCATCCCCCCATGCCTCTGCGTCAAGTGTCCCCACAGCCCCCAAAATGACACTATTTAAGTCCGATCCTATCACTGTAACTCCAAGCCCTCCTCCAGTGGGTGCCCAGGGCCCCATGCCCGCCTCCTCCCACCAACCCCCTGGTGGCCACCACTCTCCTCCTCCCACTCCACCCCAGCCCCAGCCTCCTTGCTCTGGTTCCAACGTGCTACACGTACTGTTGACCTCAGGGCCTTTGCAGGTGCTGTTCCATCAGCAAATCCCCCAGAAGAGTTCCTCCCTGGCCTTCCTTGGGTCACTTCACCCAGAAGCGCCTCCCTCTGTAAGAGACCACCCTTCCCTCCTCCATCCTGTCCCCCTCCCAGTGTCTCCACCTACCACCTATCACCACCTGACAGGGCCAAGGGCTATGCTCTGTGGCCCTCACGGAAAACCCACCAACTGTTGGTAGGATCAAGAGGGGGTGTGTCGCTTTCCAAAAAATAATTTTTTGTGCCAAACTATTTAAATGAGTGAAAAGAAGTAAGGAACTGGAGAACAAGAACCAAACAACAGACAGCTGTGGGGTGTGGGGGAGTGGGCATCACTTGTCCAAGCTCCCGGGGGACCATGTGACCATGGCAATAAAAAAGCTTTGAAAATGTGATTTTGTTCGGTCCCAGCAATTCCACCCCTGAGAATATACCCCCAGGAATATCAGCGGTGGGGACAAAGATTTGTCACATTAGTTACAACAATAAAACAACACCAAAGGCAAACTCAAATGCCTAACAACCTAGGGCCAGCTAAGGCATTGAAGGCTGGGGCCTCCACTAGGTGGAAAACTCGACTGTCCCCTAAGAAAATGTTTAAAGACCCAGAGCTTTGGGGTGCCTAGGTGGCTCAGTGGTCAAGCATCCAACTTGGGCTCAGGTCATCATCTTGAAGTTTGTGAGTCCGAGCCCCACGATGGGCAGCACGGAGCCCGCTTGGGATTCTCTCTCTCCCCGTGTCTGTCTCTCCTCCCCTGCTCACGCACCGTCTCTCTCAAAACAAACTTTAAAAAAAAAGAAGAAAATAAAGACACATAGCTGTAGAAAATATTTAATAAAAAATATGCTAAGTGAAGAGAGCAGCTTACACGGCATTGTTTACAAAACGATCTTAATTTTAGAAGCGTATGTGTGTAGAAAAAGTTCTAGAAAAAATGCACCAAAACACTGGCAACGCTATTATTATCTCTCTGACAGCTGTCGCCTGGGTCCCTCCCTCCTCTGCGCTGATTCTGGGCCGAGCGTGGGGTGGCGAGGCTTGCCTGGCCCACGGCTCCTCCTGTACACATTTCTTGGAGCGCCCTGAGTTTCTGTGTTGAACACCCGTGTTTTTTGTGCCTAGCCCAGAATTCGCTGCCCTTCTGCTGAAAGCACCCATTCCCTGCAGCCCGGTGGTGACGGCTCCGTGGGGGGGGGGGGGGGGGGATGCACAATCAGCCCGTTGCAACCCATCTCCCAGCCCAGAGAGTTTGCTTCTGCACAAAGCATGAACCCCCAGGGAGCTAACGAGAATGAATCAAATACCTTTGCCGGAGCCACCAGGAAAGAGGTGGCCTCTTTTGGGAGTCTGCTGAATTGGGCAGGCCCGTGGGCCTGCGAGAAGTATTGGGTGACCCCCAAGAGGACAGTGGGCCTGCCGTGAATGAGGACAACAGACAGAAAAGTGGAGCAGGCGGAGAGGGAGAGACGGGGAAGGGGTACACAGGACAAGAAACTCCCGATGACGGAGTGCCCGGATCCAGCCATACCTGAAACTTATTACCTAGTTACCGCTGTACCTGGCTGCCGAGAGCCCATCGATTTCCCTCCCCTTTTTCTAAGCCAGTTCAAATGAGCCTTTCTGTCCCCCGCAACCCAAAGAATCATGCTAATACAAAACGCGGCACTGACAGAACGAGGAGAAACTTCACAGAGAAGCCCGCAGACCGAGCGCGCAGCAACACAAACGCACGTGAACTCTACTAACCTGTAAACGGCAGAGATGACAAATTCTGCCCCGTGTATTTCTGCCTCAACTTTTCAAACATGGGTACGGGTAAACCCCATCCTGGGGATTTTCAAACTGTTTAAATCCTTAGGAAAATTAAAACCACCAAAAATGCCATAGAAACCGACCGCCCATGGCGACTCACCTCCCACGTCCTGGCTCCTCTTCTCCAGCTCCAGCCCAGCGATCTCGCTCAGCAGGGTGATGCCGTGCAGGAAACTCTGCTCCAGGACCAGGCTCTGCGCCGCCTCCAGCTTCTCCAGGGCCTGGGCTCCGGCGCCCGGGGAGGGCAGAGGCCTGGCCTGGGGCAGCTCAGCAGCCGCCGCCAGGGCATTCATGCCGGCCAGCGGGTCCTCTGGGCCAGGCAGAAACTGGTCGGAGCCTTCCTCCTCCTCCAGGAAGCAGGTGCCGCCGGGCACAGGCGCGGCCTCCCGGGCCTCCAGACTCAGGTGCTCTCCGTCCCCAGGGGGCATGTCACAGTCTGCCAACTCCAGGCCGGGCCGGGGCTCGCTCGGGGGCGCCTGGGCTAGGCCTTCCTCGGGCACCGCCTCTACCACCGGCACAGCCACGGGCACGTCGACGGGCACCTCCACCGGCTCCTCCTTGGCCTCCACCAGCGTCTCCGGCGTCAGTCGCGCCCCCAGGTCTGGGGCAGCCACGCACGATTCCGTCCGGCCGGGTGAGTCGACCCGCGCTTCGGCCCCTTCCGCGAAGTCCGGGCACCCGGGGACCTCCGCGACCCCCTGCCCGCCGGCGCTCAGGGCCTGGGCCTCCAGCAGGCCGCCTCCACAGCCGGCCGCAGGGCTCGGGGCCGCCAGCGCTTCCTCGGGGGGCAGCGCCAGAGGCGACTCCAGCGAGGGCAGCTCGGCAGGACCCTCGTCCATGTCCTCCACCTCCGCCTTCACCTCCCGCTCTGCCAGCGCCTCTCCGTCCGGGCCCTCCCGCAGCGGCTCCGGGATCTTGGAGGGGGACAGGCGGATGGGCTTGTCTTCAGGCGAGAGCGCCAGGCGCTCGGGCCCGTCGGCCGGGAGCGGCACGTCGGGGGCCAGGCCGTCGGCGTCGGCCGCCGCCGTGGGCTGCAGCAGGAACGGGTAGGGCCTCCCGTAGTGCGGCGGCAGGGCCTGAAACGGGTACCTGGGCGGGAGATCTGCCAAAGACACGGACAGTCAGCGGAGGCCCCTTCACCCGTCGCGTCTGACATCCCCCGTGTCCCCCGTCAACACCCACCCACCATCCGGGACGGAGCCCCGTGGCCACCCTCTGCACCCGGCGGTCCTACACCAGGCGGCATCGGAGGACCCCTGCTGCCTTTCCGCACGTCCAGGCCACAGAGACACAAGTCAGCCGCCACCCCGTCCCGAGGGGGCCTCAGGACTCAAAGGCAGAAACCACGGTCGGCTCTTTCTTTCTCTGGCCCACAACGCCTCCGCGCCCGGCACAAGGCTGGCCCAGAAGCAAATGCTCCGTAGGCCACCAATGGTCTTGACCCGGCGGGGCCTCCTTTGGCCTCCGTTCCCGCCTCACCCCATTCAAGTGGAGTCGGGGCAGCCCAACTGTTCGAAAAAAACGGCGACACGGTGCTGCCCTCCACGTTTCTACTCTGAACCCCCGCCCCCAAGCGTAGCCGCCCAAGAGCAGGGTGGCACGTGGCCAGATGTTTGCGGTGCTTCTGCGCAAGCTCCGGGTGCTCCACGGGAGCCAGACCAGGGGGAAGACGGGTGCCTGGAGCAGCCCCCGGGGCCAGGCTTAGTGCCGGCCTTTAGCACGGCATCAAATCTCCCCAGAGAGGAGCGGTCACTTGCCCCAAGATTCTGGTGGTAGCAGAATCGGAATCGGAACTCAAATCCTCCCGAGGATGCTCTCACGCTCTTTAACAGCCGCCGGGGCAGAGGGACGCCATTAAGGCCACCTGCTGCACGTCCCCGCTGGCGCAGGGCAGGGGATGGGCACCTGTGCCCGAAGCACACGGCAGAGGGTGGGGTCGGGGTCCAGAAAGGGCGCGATCATCGTGACAACCCTGCACGTGCCATGTGCCAGGAGCGCTTCCTTTACCGTTCTCAATTCGGTTTGGTTAACCCTCAGAACGAGTCCTTCTGAAGGAGGTTCTAACGTCACGCCCATTTCCCTGACTTTACTACCAAGGTGGGGCTGGAGAGAGGCTGCGTCCAACCCACGCACTCACACGTTCACTCCAGAGCCTGGCGGCAGGCCCAGTACGCAGCCGGTGCCCCGCAGAGACAGAGGAAGGAAGGGCTGGAGAACCCGACGGTCAACGAACTGGCGGCGATCGGTTCGACCAGAGCCAGACCCAACTCCGGTCTGGGCGACACGTGCCCCCCACCCCCACCCCAGGGACTCAGCCACACTCCTACCCGAGAACAAGGCCTGGAAGGGGCCGGGGGCTTCCTTCTCCAACTCCAAGTCCTTCTTCTCCACGACATTCTCGGGTGCCTCCTCCTTGCGGGTGACACCGGGAGTGGGCGGCGGGGAGGCGGGCGGCGGGCTGCTGGGGTGGGAGCTGGGCGTGGCGGGGTAGGCGTAGGCGGGCGCCTTGGACACATCCTCCAGCTTCTGGATGACCTTGGCCTTCAGGGCAGCCACAGGGGAAGCGCGGGGAGATGGCGGCGGGCTCACGGCCTTGCCGTAGGTGCCCGTGGGGCCGGCGGCCAGGCCGGGGGGCTTCCGGGGCAGCAGCCCAGGGCCCGGGGCGGCCAGGCCGGCCTTGCCTGCAGCCTCCAGGCTCCGCTTGCTCACCTTCTCCTCCATCTCCACCCGATGCTCCTGGGCCTTCAGGCGCTCCTGCTGGGGAGGGGGCCGGCAGGCAGGGTGAGCACAGCAGGAGCCATCGCCGGGCACTTGCCCAGGCCCCGGGGTCGCCTCAAGCAGGGCCCAGCGTGCGGGCTGCCCGCCCTCCCAGTCTGCTGCGGACATTCCGTCGTGGCTCACGTGTAACAAGCACAGCATTCCTTGTGGAACCCCAGACGGGGCTGGGGAGGGGTGGGGGGGGGGGGGGCTGCCTGGGGGGCCACCGGGGCTGGCAGGGGCCTCCAGTCCAGACTCCGGCCCCACCGGGAGCCTCAGTTGGCACAAGGGGGACAGGGCAGAGGCATGAGGCTCCTGACGATGAAGGAGGCGCCCCACTCCCCACACTCATATGGCTTTAGGATAGCTATCTTCACGGAGATAGGGTGGGGGTCTCTTCCTACATTTCATGGCTTTCGAGGAAACAGCAGGGAGCTGCTCGAGAAGAGCCAGTGCTCGCTGGGGGGCAGGGAGCCAGGGGGGCCAGGCGGTCAGCACATAGAACACGCCGGCACCAGCTACACCCACGATTATCGAATCTCACTGAATGATCCCGAGGACATAGGATCACCGGCATCGCCACTTTCCTAAGGAGGAGATCTGAGGCTCAGAGACGTGAAGTCACTGGCCCAAGGGCACAGAGCCAGGCACGCCAGAGCTAAGGGTCAAACCCAGGCCCCGTCTGCTGCACAAGCCACCACCGTGGCCTCTGCGGTGGCCGCTGTACGAAGGGAAAGCAGCGAGGCCGAGAGGACAGACGTCCCGGAGCACCTGCAAGTAGGCAGGAGCGCCGTTGGCTCCAGGGAGCCCACCCACACGGGGAACCGGCCCCTCGTGGCTCCTCCTGCACGGGACGAGTTAACATGGGTGTTAGAGGCCAACCCTGGCCCAGCCCAGCTGCTCGAGGAGGCCAAGCCAGGCCAGGCCAGGCCAGGCCAGGCCGGGCTTAGGAATCCGCAGGAGGCCCCGGGACCTCCTCAGCAGACAACACAAACTTGCCCAGTCCAGCAGGCTGCCTCTCCTGCCTCGGTTTCCCCGTTGCTCCCCGCACCCTGCTCCTGCATGGTTCCGCACACCTCTGGGCCTTGCCCGCGGTCAACTCCTCCAAGTCTGGGGGCAGACGCCCGCTCCCCCCTCCGGGCGGCCCTCCCTGACCACCAGCCCCCGCCATCCTTCGTCTCTGCCTGCGGACCCGTCTGCCTCTCCCTCTGCGGGGGGCTCGGAGGGTCATCCCTTGTCCCCCGCCCACCAGCAACTCACCACCAGCTGGGCGCTCCTCTGCAGCTCCAGGGCCTGGGCGGCCTGCTGCTGTAGGTACAGGAGCTCGTGCTGCCGCAGGAGGCGCTGCTGGGAGAAGAGCTGTAGCTGCTGGGCGTGGTGCAGGGCGCCGCGGCCCGGCGGGTACAGGGCGGCCCAGAGGGGGGGTGCCGCGGCCCGCTCCATCAGCTCCGCTGGGGACAGGGCGGACAGTGAGGCCGTGCCCGCCGCCCCCCTCTACACAGGGGGAGGCTGAGGCCCCCGGCAATGGAGCCTCTGTGCCCCCTTCCCTGTCCCCAGCCCAGGGG